GTTTTTTTTTTCATTCAGGATCAATTTCAAAAAACTCGAGGGATCGCTCCCTAGATCTGCATGTGCCCAGCCGGGTGTGCATGCCACTATAGTATTTTGCCACAATTCTGTCTTATTTGCGGTTTATATGTTTTACATGTGGCGAAATATTCCGCACTACAAAACCGTGCTAAATTGAATTGAGGCAACAAATTAATAGGGAGCTAGGCGAATAAGGCGACAGGACATTAATGCGAAAAAATATTTAGACGACAAAAAGGTATTAGCATCCAAAATTACTACAATTACTGGCAATGCCATCCCAATAAATTTTTACAGATTAAGAACCATCCAAAATGTCGTTTACTAATAATTTTCGACCTCGGTTTTTGGAAGGAAAAAACTTAAACTCAATTTTGAACAGGTTAATAAAAAATAATGGTTGATGCGTGTTAAATTGTTAAAATTTACGTTTTGGTATTTCTCAGAAAGGTAAAATAATCATTTGAGCTTTGTATTTCTCAGAGCTGCTCAACTGCTGAAAGTCGAGCAAGTGCAGTTTTGCGATTGAAATTCCGGGGTCGAGAAGCAGTTTTAAGTCAAGCACAAAGTCGAAACGTATCCAATTTCGGTCGAGAAGTTCGAAATATAGGTCGAGAAAGTCAAAACGTATCTATGAGGGCTCCAATAAACAAATTTTCAAATGTTTTAAAAAATGTCCGCCGAGAAAGTCGAAACTTATCAAATTTTGGCGTCGAGAAAGTGGAAACATATCTGAACTGGGTCGAACAAAGTTGAACACTTTTTTCTTGGGTGGAGAAACTCAAAACATACCAAAATTTGTTCGAGAAAGTCGAAACATGCCGAAAATAGTTCGAGAAAGTCAAAACATACCCCGAGGCATACCGAATTTTGGTCAAAAATTTTGAGACATAAATCGAGCATCTCGTCCCGGGTAAGACAACCAATTCGCGTTATCAATTTCTCAGAAATGTACTTTGTCGTCTAAATGTCTTATCAAAAATGGTTGTCGCCTTTACGCCGTCGCCCAGTTGCCGGTCACCAGCCAAATGGTCTTATTAGCTCCTTACAGGAAACAATCTTTCACGCTTAAAATTTGATATAATCAGCCCGAAATTCATAGTTGTGTCAAAATACAATTTACCAGAAACTATTTGAAAGCAAACTAAAGGCAGTCAGATCATTCAGATTTCTGCCCTGATGCGGGACGTCTTGTTATGTCATCCTAAAAGTATTGTTGTCATTAGCTCTATTTTAAAAAGCTTTTTCACTATTGATAAGTTTTCGTAAAGCTATTTCGGTTTAAGGATTGCCAATTTCGGATAATTAACGCGCGATATATTTTGCGCTATTAACGGATAAGCCGAGTGTTAATCCGTCTTAGAACTCGATCCAAATTGAACTGAGGCATAATATGTGGTCTAGTTAATACTTTGCCATATGCGAAATATATTGTCCAAAAATATAACAAAATTTTCTTTTTTTTTGAAAATACTTGGAGCATTGTTTTCATACTGAACACCACTGCATAGACGTTAAAAGGTAGTCGGAGTACTCAAGGCGTCATCCTGATACCATCAGTCTTGTTTCATTTTGGGTTGATAAGAAAACTAACGTTGAAACGCAATTTCACATTGAAGATCGAAAAACAAATTCAACCTGCATTTTTTGTTCAATGAGATGTTTCAGAAGATCAGAACCTGCATTTTTTTCAGAAACCTAATTTCTTTCATTACATGGTCGAAGGTTTGAAAAAAATTGCAGTACATTTTGACGGCATGAGATGAAAAAAAAATCAGCACGAAAAAGCTATTTTATTTGATTTCACCTGGGTGAAGATGATGAAGAGACTGATGGAGCTGAGAAATGTGAGCAAGAGGTAGGTGCAGGACACCAGCAGCAGTCCCTTCGTGATCGATCTCTCTTGAGACCTACTGCCACCGCCACCGCCACTGCCACTAGGAGGCTTCCTGTAGAACAGTTCCACCGTATTCAACTTCCTAATTTAGCTCCTAGGGCGAAAGGTGCTATACTTACACTTAGAAGGGAAAATATTGACCCTTTCGAAAAAATTTTCATGTAATTTTTTGTCCTCTTATTGATTTGGGAAAGATCATCGCAACGTCAAACAATCATAAGTGAGCAAAGAAAGACAAGAAAAGTTGTCGGCTGTACAATTAGCACAAAATTTTCCAGCCAAGGTCATTTTGCCAAAAAAAAATTCGACAAGCTCTGGAAATGAAATGAATACATCATTAATAAAAAAAACAAGTAGCACAGAATTTTCCGACCATAGTCTTAAGAAAACTACGGTTTAGAAAGTTTTTTTTTCAAATCATAGTAGTTTTTTCTACTTGGTGTGATAACAGAAACATGACTAGAAAAATTAAAAAAAATTTTGAATTGTGGTTCGCAAATCGTAAATCGAATTGGATGGATTTTCAGACTCACTAAACTCATTTTTTTTGCTAACAAGGCAAAAAAAACATACTTTTTAGAACAAATAATTGAAATATGTTATTCTCAATTTTTTTATAACAAAACACACGTGCCAGATGACATAGAATTCAATAAAATGATCCACATAAATCAGATTTTAAGCTCGATAATATGCTATGAAATCTTATAATTTTATATTTTGTTCTTTTTATTTGGTCTATTTTAAGCTACAGTACGCTATGGATGTATAATTAAAAATGATAGGCAATGAATAAATGCAATAAAAACTCGAAACTAATGAAACTTGAATAAAAAAATTCAATTTAAATCAATTTAAACCCGTTTTAATCCCCTCGAAAATAAATACAAATTAAAACTGGAAGACTGGGATTTAAGACCAATTTAAATCAATTTTAAATCGATCCAAATGAATCTTTATCTTTTTTATTTAATCTTTGTACTTTTTTTTAAACTGAAATCGATGTAAGTGTGATCAACGTACTTTTTTCATACTCAAATCGATCCTAATCCATTTTTGTCAGTGCGGGTCGTAATAGTACGTTCCTTCT